CAAGTGACCTTTTCCGTGTATGTACACGTTCAACGTGCCTTTTAACCCTGTTATACTGTTATGAAACTATAAAAAAATGCTTCAATACTAATCAAACTTGGCACAAATATTGACTGGACCATTGCCTTTGTAACGACATGCTCAGTCTTAAATTTCCTGTTACCATGGCAACGAGGGGACATCTCAAAATTGCCAAAATCACTATTTTGCCTTGATTTTTTCCATCAAAATTTATTTCAAAGTGCTGCATCTTCTTAAGGGATTGAGATAGAGTCAAAGGCTTTTCAGCGTTGGTTACACGTTACCTTATAATCGACCTGAGGTCATTTTTAGCCTCTCACAAGTCCAAAATGTTCTTGGCAATGACGGGGACTACCGCCCACCTTCAAACCCACTAAACAGAAGGGGGCACACCTCCCTTCTAGCAAACCCCTGATGTATCTCTTGGATGAGGGGGGGGGGGCGCCGAAAAAGTGCTGACTTTTTTAGCAGCATTTCTCAAATGAAAACATTTGTATGGGGTCCAATTAGTACATTTTTTCACTATTTGAGGCCTAAAAGAGGGAGGGTCGAAAGTGCGTTGTTTCGCGTATATATGAGGTAAAGGGTTAAGAGAAGATGGTGTTGCGTATCGCCCATCACATTTACCGCATAATGTACTGGTCGCCGCCTGCTCATGATAGTTTTTTTTATGAAATTTAACCCTGGCCTTATTTGCGTACGTCTTTCCACAGACGTCACATTGAAAATCATTTTTGTATACCCTTATTCATGTCGAGATTTCACCTGAAATTTAAATAAATTTTAAAATTAAAAACTGAAACTTTACCGACTAAAAGTAAAAAACTATTTTTGTATGCCTAGTCTGTTAATATTTTATACAAAGAGGTTTTACTTCAATTTTAATGAATTCCAAAAATCAAATCGCGTATTTTATTTCAATATGTCATCCCGGTGATACGATGCATATGAAATTGTATATGTTAATCAGTTAGGTATAATAACAGTTACACTCCATCATATTATTACAAAATGAATGATAGTGTTGGCTCCATCACATTTTCAAGGGCTCATTCACATTGCCGATGGCGCCAGCACCTTGTCGATGGCTCGATCACAATAATAAAAATATGATTATTTGGTTTTCAACTAAGTTCTGTAAGTTATTTTTTGTGTTGGTCCAAAGAGGAGGTTGCGACAATGCTATATGCACGATTAAATGGGCCAGCATCTACTTTATGGTAGGGAAATCACTCAAAATGTGTTTCCTTGTAAAGGAAAACCCACGATGTTATATTTGGTAAAAGTTCTAGCAACGTCATTTCAGGGTATTTCTTATCGAAACTGCACCCAACATGATGAGAAAAATGTTCTACGTGGCATGACATTCTTCGATTTTTGAAAAACAAGCATGATCTTTTTAAATTGATATTTTTACTAAAATTTCTTACCTTTTTAGCCTTGTTTTTATCGAGGGCTCTGCAACGGAAGTGTCGATGGCTCTCATTTAAACAGATCACCAAAATGTGAAAGAGCCACCGTTTAGTAGGCGTGCTGTTACAACGATAAAACTGGTTTTCAAACAATTTTTACATATATGAAAAAATACCGTTTACCATCAAGTCTCAATAAAGCAAAGATTGTAGACGCGAAACAACAAGATGTACAAAACTCATGATCCCCTGTCAGTCTTTACAGCAAAATGACTATTATCTTTGCCTGTTAGCGCATTGTTTTCAGTTTAAATATTTCTAAGTTAAATAAATTAGTTTTTGGGCTAATTATTGGTGAAATATTAATCAACAGTCTCCAAAACATGCATGATTAGATAAAAGACCAAAAAAATTTGTATAAGAAAATGTAAGGTGAAATAAAACATAAAAACGCCTTAGTAACACTCAAATATGGGTCTCAGATCATCGCCTGATGAAAAAATATAATTGGTACTACAATAGTAAAAAATGGTAAACATAAGCCAGTATTATACTAATCTTTAGTATGCCGAAAGCGAAATTTTTAAGAATAAGATTTTCATAATTGTAAAAATACAAATAAATGTTCTACATGTGCTTATTAAAATTATCAATTGTTGTTCTTTATTTGTTGTTGATTTTTTATTTAATACGTGGTATATTTCTATGGATTTGTAATCTGAAATGGTTTTATGGTTAATACAAATTTATTTTAGTTTGATTGTGTTGGGAGCTAAACGCTTTTTGAAACACTCTCGAATCAGTTCCTGGAACGAACTTGTACTAAGCAATGAATGTAAAGTTCCTTATGAAGTATATAAATTACCCACCACCTATTTACTATGAACTACTTTGATAACAATTACAACACATCTAGCTACTACATTTGTATAACAGAATATATACAGGCATGCACTAGTATCATAAAACTATATCATAACAGTATCAACAGTTTTATTAATATGAAGCCTGAATAAACATACAAATTTGTCGCATTTAACTGTTATTGAGATGAGCGCGCATGTTTTCTGTTTGATAAAGTGTATTGGCTGTTCTGCAGCCTGATGGACATAATATGTCATCGTAATTCATACTCGCTTTGATATGTTAAGTATTTTAATTTGATTTGATGTAAGTAGTCGATTGATTGAGATAAGCACGCATGTTTTTTTTGTTTGATTACGAATATGTGCTGTACTACAGCCTGATCGATATAATATGTCATCGTAATTCATATTCGTTCTTATATGCTTAGTATTCTAGTTTGATTTGATATTTACAGTCGGTGCGCCAAGCGCCGCATCCTTTGTTGGGTTTCTACCGATACAGTTTATTTTCATTGTATTGTTAGTTAAGCGTTATATCACTAGTGGCGTAACTTCTTTCTTTTCATTACGGATTAGGATAGTTTATAATCAGTATATTACTTTTATCTTGACTGTTGTAAGATACTACTAGCCAAAGTTCCCTTGGACCTTTCAACAAGAAGGTTCTAGGCGTGTATCTAACTATTATATTTTTGTGATTTTTTTAGTTTACATATTTTATTAAATTTATAGTTGCATATACAATTGGTTTAAACATATCTATTTAAGCTCAATTGCGAAACAAGTTCGTGCAACTGATATTAATCACTTTCGAGTCTGCTTCCTGGAACCAACCAGTACTGGTGACATATGAAGAAACATGGCCATGACCCGAGTAGGGCTCGAACCCATGATCTCTGGGTTGAGAGGCAGACACCTTAACCACTAGGCCACCACTCCCCTATCTACAATTAACATCATATCTACATATCGGACCACTGTCTATCTTTGTAAATAAAGTTTTCTTGACATACCAGTATAAACTTATTCAGCCCCTACCCTCAGAACACAAATTAATATGTTCTGAGGAGCAATTGCTAAATCACTGTTGTAACAACTTAGCGTACCTGTCCAAAGATATGTCAATACTTGTTGGGCATTATCATACTTAAGCTTGTACTGCTTAGTTCCACACTATGACCATTCCTCGGCATTCCAAAACCCATTTTATAAAGTGGTTATCTTTTATTTGATATTTTGTGTTATTATATTCATAGTAAATTAAATTATATGTACTTAATTGTATATCATTTATGAATTTGAATATCGCAGTGCGTATTTCACCGGCTATTTCAAAAGGCGGATACAGGAGTATTTTTTATTTATTGATACTATTCGAAGTTTTAATATGCATGATTCCAGTTCTTTGCGTTGCACGAAATGACACGCGCAAGTGAAGAAAACGTGCTCAAACGTTTCTCCTTCATTACATGCTGTACAATTTTTATCGGCGGAAAATAAGTGACCTTTATATTTCAAATGGTTAAGTTTTAAGCAATTTTATATTTCATCTTTTTTTGGATGACGGTGATATGGTACTAGTTTTTTGGGCGGTATCTTTTTTTATTTCTATATTATTTATTTCACAGTGTTCGTTCAATAATCTAGCTATTTCTTTTTTCTATCACTTTTCTATTAATTGTACTGTATGCTGTGTTATCTTCAATGCGTGCACTTTTTGCGCATTTGCCGACAAGACCAATATGTATGGAACGCCGTGACTGTCTTATGTGATCAATATTTTTGCTATCTTGTGTAACGATGGTATTATTTTGTCGTTTGAGCATGTTAACATGTGCAATTTACATCATGTCTTGTCAATGTATCATGATGACTTGTGCAAACAGCATGTTAACTTGTCAAAATTTCATATTGACATGTGAAAACAGCATGTTAACTTGTCGATTTTTCGTGATGATGACATGTGCAAACGTGATGATATGTGACATGTTAACTTGTCAAAGTATCGTGATGACATGTGCAAACAGCATGTTAACTTGTCAAAATAGCATGATGACATGTGCAAACAGCATGTTAACTTGTCAAATTCTCGTGATGACATGTGAAAACGACATGTTAACTTGTCAAAAGTTCATGATGACATGTGCAAACCGCATGTTAACTTGTCAAAGTATCGTGATGACATGTGCAAACAACATGTTAACTTGTCAAAGTATCGTGATGACTTGTGCAAACAGCATGTTAACTTGTCAAAATTTCATGATGACATGTGCAAACAGCATGTTAACTTGTCGAATTCTCATTATGACATGTGCAAATGACATGTTAACTTGTCAAAATTTCATGATGACATGTGCAAACAGCATGTTAACTTGTCGAATTCTCGTGATGACATGTGAAAACGACATGTTAACTTGTCAAAAGTTCATGATGACATGTGAAAACCGCATGTTAACTTGTCAAAGTATCATGATGACTTGTGCAAACGACATGTTAACTTGTCAAAATTCCATGATGACATGTGAAAACAGATTGTTAACTTGTCGAATTGGCATGATGACTTGCGCAAACAGCATGGTAACTTGTCAAAATTTCATGATGATATGTGCAAACAACATGTTAACTTGTCAAAGTATCGTGATGACATGTGCAAAGAACATGTTGACTTGTCGAAGTAACATGATGACTTGTGCAAACGACATGATAACTTGTCAAAATTTCATGATGGTATGTGCAAACAACATGTTAACTTGTCAAAGTATCGTGATGACATGTGCAAAGAACATGTTGACTTGTCGAAGTGTCATGATGACGTGTGCAAACAACATGTTAACATGTCGAAATAATATGCTGACTTGTGCAAATAGGTACATATCATTTCAAACAGAAATGATCTTGTTAAACGTGCCTAAATGTAAAGTTGATTTGTATTTATATAAGATGCATTCGGTTAATATGAAGAAAATTGTTGTTATGTAAGAGTAATCTTGTTTGTATTTGTTTCGTTATTTTTTTATTCGTACACAAGTGAATCAATGGAATCAATTTTAAATAAACTGGGATTAGGAAGGCACGCAAACGCCTTCATAGAGGAAAATATTTCTCCTGATATTGTTAATAAGATGTCGTTGTATGATATGCGTTGCGTGGGCATTTATGACAGGAGTGAAATTATGAAGTTGAGAACAGCCTGCCTTCAATATGGAACGTCAAAACCATTTCTTGTCGATGGTGCAAATGGAGGCGCCCCTGTCTATAATATACCAAAAAGTAACCTAGAAATTCTCCTGGATATAGGATTTACAATAAAGGAAATGTCTTTATTACTTGGTGTTTCTGAAAGCACTCTGTATCGACGAATGCGTGTTTTTGGATTGAAGAAAGTCATTTTTTCGGATATAAGCGACGATGACCTTACAGCTGTTGTTAAACAAACTATAGAGGAGTTTCCAAAAAGTGGGGAACGGATGTTGATTGAAATTATAAGACAAAAAGGGATCCGTGTTAGTATAAATATTAGCAATTTTTTACGATATGTACATAACCTATTCTATAACTTTTTGATTATCACCTGTTAGAACAGGCTATAATATAAAACACGATTGTAGGACCAGAGGTGTCTTTAAGACAATTACTTAGTTAATTTGTCAAGTTGTGCTTTTAAGATATTGCATCTTCACCTTAATATTCTTATCACTCTTCACTGGGACAAATTATAACATGTACGGTCCCTGCTCTTAATGAGAATTTATGAATAAAGTTTATACAGGATATTTGAAAAATAAAACCACTGTTATTTGTACGAAAATAAATGTACAGTTACAAATTTTATAATTTTATTTTCCATTGACAGATACAAAGATACCGACTTCGAGACATTCTTCATGAACATGATGAAGTTGGAATTAAAGAACGGCAATTGGGTAGACTGCATAGACGTATTTACCATGTTCAATGTCCCAACCACATGTGGCACATTGACACAAATCATAAACTTATACGATGGGGCTTTATTATCTCAGGGGCAATAGATGGTTTCAGTAGACTGGTGACTGCATTAAGTTGTCTGGACAATAATAAATCTGATTCATTACTTCAGGTGTTTCTAGAGGCTACCGGGAAGTATGGTACACCTCGATATGTGCGAACAGATATGGGACTGGAAAATACTAAAATTGCAGAATACATGCAGGTAAAACGCGGTGTTCGCAGTATTCTTACAGGAAAAAGCACTCATAACCAAAGAATTGAAAGGTTATGGCGTGATGTTTTTGACGGGGTTCTTTTTCATTATTACCAACTATTTGGTTTTATGGAAGATGAACAAATTTTAGATGTTTTGAATCCAGTACATATCTTTGCTCTCCATTTTGTTTACATGCATAAAATAAACGAAAAACTGAGTATTTGGAAAGAAGCGTGGGCTACCCACAGAATACGCACAATTGGATCGTCTCCTTTGCGATTATGGACATCTGGTGTCATGAACAGTGCTTCGGACACACTTGAAAACAACCTTACATATTTTAATGATGCTTTGTCAACACATAACATGAATCAAACACCTTTATTTATGGCAGATCATCCAGAAATAAGTGAAGCATGTTTTGAACGATTATCAGAAGAGTGTCCTCGTCAATGGAATTGTTCAAATTTCGGGATCAGTATATATCAAAACGCTATAAGGATTCTTAATGATAGTAACATGAACGCATAATTATTTACTACAACAAAATGTAATGTTACTGAAGCGGAAGTAGAATTTCATGGTTACCTCTGTTTTCATTTTATATTTTAGGTATTCATTTTGACTAAAGTAATATTGATGACCTACCATCCATGACTATGGCAGATACTTCAGTTTTTGCTAACTAATATAAAAAGACGTATATGATTGTTTCAATTAGATAATATCTTTATTTGAAAGAGAAACACTGTTTTAGCGGCAAATACCATTCTTCGTTGTACTATTATAAGACAATGAATTGCGTCACTACGCTAATTTTAATACATAAGTGTTTTAAAGCTGCCTTTTCTTTCACCTCGCATGGTACATATATAAAATACAGTGTAGAATAATGTTTCTGACATTCTCAATAAAATTTTTGAAGTTCATTTGTTATATGCAAATGTTTACCTTATCTTTAAAAGTTATACTCCTCATCTTTTAAGTTTATACTCCTTTTTCCCCTCATAAAGAAGGCTTTAATATGCAGTCTTCAAACAAGAGGTAATAATCTTTACATAAGTATCTTCAACATTTGAAATGTTATGATGTATTAACGTATTTACTAATAATGTTTTTCTCATAGTCGTCTTGTTCAACTATTTTGGCTGTGGTCATGCCAGCTACTCGAACGAGACAGTTTATCACTAAGAAAACACAACTTTCGAGAACCTCCACAGATGTTCATAGCACAAATTGGCAAAAAAGGGAAAAGGAAATATTTAAACACTTGTTGATTTACTTTTATTTCAAACACTATTAACAATTAAACATGTTAATAATTATTTATTATGAACTGAGTTAAACATAAAAGTTATGATCATACATGTACCAACTACTATTCCAGATGGTGCAAAACTGAAGTAATCTGACAGTTTGTAAAAAATGTCCAAAGGAGATTATTTTTACAAGTGTGCGCTGAACATATGAATGCTCCCCGCACCTGTTTTAGAGAGGACGAACGAAGTCAACATTTTAATATATTTAAATATATCACTGTAACTGGAGGATGCCTGATGCCCAAATTTTAACCCTTGACTTCTAAGTATGATCTTGACAAAGACTACGGACCCGAGTCTCACAAGTGATATATCCTGTCATATTATATCACATATTTTGCCTATTTATTTCGGGTTCCGTGAAAAAATAGTTCTGGGATGAAAACGAATAATGAGCTTCAATGTCGGACTTTAACCACGAAATATGACCTTGAAATTTAGGGTTACAGACCTGATTCTTACAGATGGCACATTTTTTCATCATGGAGAACATTTGAGCTTAATTATTTCAAAATCCCATTTCAAAGAATTAAGAGGGTGATAACAAATAATGAAGAACAATTAATGTCTTTGAACTCCATGTATGAACTTGACCTTGGGGCTAAAGATCTGGTTCTTAGACGTGATACAATGTCTCATTATGGAGTGTATTTGTGCTTTACAATATCAGAAAAAAGCCAAGGAGCAATAAAGAATAAGAAATAACAATATTTGATTTTGACTTCTAAGTATAACCCTGCTCTTAGGGCTACAGATCTGAGTGTTACACATGCATGTGACACACCCTCTCATCATGGAGAATAGATATGCGGAATGATATCAAAATCACAATTCAAAGAACATATTTAAGGAGCAGTAACAATTATTGAAGCTCAATTAAAATCTCTAATTAAATGAGGTCATACACTAACCAATCTTGGCTAAACTATTTCAAAATCCCATTTAAAAGAACAAAGTTATGACATAGTTTCGTCCCACTAAAAACACGCATGGAGGCTTATTTTGCTTTAGATCAGTAACAGTTACAATAATCATTTTGTCATTAATTGTCACATGACTATAGTTTTGCACCACCATTTTCCAACTCTAAAGTTAACCAAATATTTAACAGGAAATATTCAAACAGGAACTAGCAACATTTAGCATGCTTATGCATTATGTGGTATAATAAAATTCAAACTAGACAAAAGATCATTGACGCTGGCACATGAAGGATGTAAAATTCCTTAAGAACACATGAAAAAACAAGAGGGCCAAGTAAAAAGGGCCAAGTGACTCTGAAAGGCTCACTTGAGAAACAGGTAAAGGTTATATCATCTGCAATTTACAGTAAGTTGATGTAACTTTTTTGGTCTAGGGTCTCAACTTATTTTAAAACATGTAACCCCCTGAGTTGTAGTGAAATGACTGATGGATGGATTACCAGGACAGGTGAATGACGAAAAATAATATACTATCATCTCACTGTGAGTTTCTCTCAGTATGTATAAAGTGAAGTTTAAATGAAATCCCCTTAGCTGTTTATTGATGAAGTACAAACAAATCAGATGATTACTGTGATTAATCATTGTGATTACTATATGCCGTCCTTTGGATGCATAAAAACAAAGAAACTGAAAATTGTGGCATACCTATGCTTTAGAATGTATAATAATTATGTTTAATTTCTTCAAAACATGAAAATATAATTGTATCAAGAAAAAACATCAAAACAAATCCATACAAGAGCCTTTGCTTTTTTAAAATCCAAACAAATAAACTGTTTACAAAAAATCTTTAAAAGAAAATTAAAGAAAAAAATAAGTTTTCCATTTTTTAAATTTCAAATGTATAAGAGAACAAAATCTCTAGCATGTTTTCTAAAGCAGATAATGCTTGCATTAAAAAAATAACAATTTTCGAAGTGAGGACCTTTCAATATATAACTCTATTTAAACTCATACAAGAGGGCCATGATGGCCCTGAAATTGCTCACCTGTATATAGGCCTATGGGCCAATGCCATTTTTAAACCAGGGTCTTTTATTTGAACAAACTTGGTAGACAGCCATTAAAAGATGTTTCATGATAAATATCCAAGCGCTAACTCTTTGGGGTTCTTATAAGAAGATTTTTTAAAGTTTTTACTATATACATATAGGAAAAAACAATGACCCCCCAGGAGGGGCCAATTTTGACCCCAGGGCATTGATTTGAACAAACTTGGTAGACACTGACTAGTTGATGTTTCATGCCAAATATGTAAGCTCTATTTCTTACGGTTTTCTAAAAAAAGATATTTAAGTTTTTACTATATACAAAAAAGGAAAATTAATGACCCCCTGGGGCGTGGCCAATTTTGACCCCAGGGCATTGATTTGAACAAACTTGGTAGACACCCACTAGAAGATGTTTCATGCTTATTATTTAAGCTCTAGCTATTCAGGGTTTTTAAAAGAAGGTTTTTTAAGTTTTTACTACATACAAATAAGGAAAATCAATGACCCCCCCCCCCGGGACGGGGCCAATTTTGCTCTAGCTCTTGCAGTTCTCTAATTTATTCAGTAGAAAAGAAGAAATTTTAAGTGTTTTCTTTTGGTTGCTATGGCAACCAGAGTTCTGCTTGGAATTAAATTCTTTGAACAATTTTTAAAGTTGACTACCAAAAGAACATTCCTGTGAAGTTTGGATGAAATTAGCTAAGTGATGAGAAGATGTCGTTTAAAGAGAAAGTTTACGGACGGACACCGGATGAAAAGCGATCACAAAAGCTCACCATGCCACTTTGTGACAGGTGAGATAAAAACTAAAAATGTGTTGTCACAATTCACAATTGCCCCCACATGCAGCCAACATTTCAAATGTTATAATATTTAAGTCCAAATTTGTTTGCACAAACCATTTTTTCATTCCTAAACTATTCAACGTTAACACAAACCATTTTTTTTTTACAAAGTTCAAAGCCCTGAAACTAATCAGTGTGACCCTTTTGCAAATTGCACATTTGTAAAGAGATTATGATTAGATACTGTGAATTTTTAGGTCTTTTTCAAGTTAAATGGGAAATACTGTCATAAACATCTGACCATGACCAAATTAGTACTGGTCTTGTATTTTCTGGTAAAATACCACCACATGCAATGTCAACCTTGGACATACATTCCTTCAAAAGTTAGAGCCGAAACTGAAAATTTATTTATTCTAAGTTCAAGAAGGATAACTGTCAAAAATCTTTGGACCAAAACCAAATTTGAACTCGACTTGTATTTTCCGGTTAAAAACCTTCTACAATGACATACCCATATATTAAAAAAATTAAATGTGAACAACTGCTGGGGAGATAATAAATGGAAACTGAATTATTTTTTTACCTAAGTTAAAGGAGCATAACGCTGCCAAATTTCATCTAACTATAACCAAATTCAATCTGGACCTGTGCATTATGTATGACGAAGAAGAAGAATGATTTTATTTTTCACTTGTACACAACATATGGTACATTGTTGAACAATATACATTTACAAAATACATGGCATATGGTCACTATGATTGACAATGTTAACATTCTGTATCAGCATCTAATATTTTTTTTTTAGTAAAGTTTATATCTATTAAAGACTAAATATGTATGTGTATGCTTTTTAGACATTACCTTAGAAAATATGTACTTAAGTATTCATCTTAGAAAAAGAAATATCAAATTTGAAAATAAACTTAAGTAAAGTGAACAAATACTTTCTATCAATTGAACAATCATACATGTTAGAATAAAATTAACACCTGTTCTAGAAGTATTTTTTTTTTAAACTGATTACATCAAATATTATTTTTAGCAGTAAAGAAAAACAATTATAACAAGAGCTGTCAGAGGAGACAGCCAAGCTCACTTGTGCCAATCTATTAAAAAAAAAATTCAGAGGTTTAAAAGTTATGGAGGGGACACGAAACGTAGACTTTTATACATTTGACCATTAAATCTGACTTTGACCTTGGGGTTAGCAACCCAATTAAAGCGCTTTGCACATTTTCTTATAATGGTGATCAATTTTGCCAAGTTATTTTTAAAAAAATCAGCGGTTTAAAAGTTATGGAGCGGAAACGAAATGTAGACTTTTTATTATGAAATGAGGACTTTTTAACATTTGAAGAAAAAAAGTGAAAATTTAAAGACTTGGTTTTTATCATTTCATGAAAACTGGATGTCTCAAATATATATGTGATACATGTGTCTGTGCTGCAAACAAAGCAGTATCCCTACACAAGATCAGAATACTTAATATTTGGGTCTTTATAACTTTTTTAAAAGACAGAGCTACATTCAACAATACTCCATAATCAAAATAATTTGAAACAAACCAATTAGAATCCCAACTTGGTAATAATTCTCCTGTAGTAAATCTCTGATTCCGTTATCAAAGTATTTTTCTTTAACCTCTTGCAATACCAGCCTAAAAAATTCTTTTCTAGGCCCACCAAGATCTGCAGCAACCTTGAAACAACAAAGAAAAAAAAATTATGAATCTTCATCACTGCTTGAATGCTTTTTTGAAATATTGTATTCTTAGAATTCTTCTAACTGCATGATTAAATAGGAAATAGCATTTCATGTTGATCTTATTCTCTGCAAGTGAAATAATAAAAAAAATTCTTCATAATTTTGTTACAGATATCTACTAGTTTTCAACAGTATCTTAATTATATATAATGCATTTACATAACCAGTTTTCCTGGATAATGCACCAGTATTAACCTGTTTCTTTCACAAGAAAATGCAAACTTCTCCATGTAGATCAACATTGCTACTTGTTATATTTAACTAGAGCTGCCATTTATTTATAAGTCAAATGTATATCAACAATTTATCAATATTGAATAATAAATATCGACAAATCATCAATATATTTATATATAATATAATGCTGTATTTCTTTTTCAAATTTCTTGATTTTAGTGACATTTCCTATTCAATAATTATTGGTGTTTCTTATTCATTAATGCCCTCAGTATTTTTCTTTTTTACCATTATTTCAGTGCCAGTCTTGTAAATATAATGTGAAATTACATTGCAAATTACAATGGTATAGTTTTGCATACACAACTGTATGACTCCTTCTGTCAGGTTACCTAGTTCTGTTTACATTTCTAAAGATTTATTGTAATTCCTGACATACATGACCTTGGTACATGTAGTACTAAGTCAAAATTATTGATCTTTAAAAAATTTGTATTAATAATTGATCAAGAGAAAAATATCAATGATACATTGATACTGTTTTAATCAATGACAGTTCTATATTTAACATAACCAGAAATTAGCATACATTTTAAGTGAATGTCAAATTCAATTGATTTAATTAAATAAAAAACTTTTGTTGAAGGACAAACCTACTCCAATATGATCTATCTTATAGCTATAAAGAAAGTTTTAATTTTACAATATTTAAAGTACCTCATTATAAAATTGAACTTCTAGTGTATATCGAAGGTCATGTGGAGTTAATTCACTAATTTCCTCAAGACTTGTTGCCAGTATATTATCCCGATCAACAGTTATATAAGTTGTTCTCCCTTCTACACTTGTGTCTGGGTCTTCAATCTCTAAAGACCTTCCTAAAACAATTTCCTTTTGGCATTTCCTTAATATTTCAATAGGATTGCTAATGTTCCTCTCCTTGCAGTATTGTATAATGCTTATTACAACATCAGATAATTCAAGCACAGATTCTGTTGACATATGCTCAGAGACTCCATCTGTTTGAATTTCAGAAGATTCATCTTTGCTCTCATTAGGCTGGACCTGTTCATAATATACCACATATTCAGTTGTATCTGTCTGGACTATGTTATCAGTTTCCCCTCTTGGCACATTTTCAGATTGATTTATGTTAATTATGGATGTTTGTCCTCCTGACAACTCATAATTCTGATTATCATTCACCGTTATAAAATTCTCACAACAAGAGTTTAAGTGCTCTCTAAGACAGTGGACATTTATTTGAGCTGAACACTTTTCACAAGCAACTTTCACAGAAGATTCTGTTTCAGAAGGAATAAATGTTGTGTCAATATCATGTTGGATTGGCCGAATATATATCCTAGCCTGTGGTCCAACATTCAGTTTCAAGTCTTTAGCTGTCCATGGTGATGGAATAGAAGATAAATTTCTTCCATTTGCCAGAGTTCTGAGCAGTTCAAAACCACCACAGTTCTTTAAACTACTGAAACCATTTTCACTCTCAATATGAGACATAACCTCAAGTTCTGAAAAACTGTTGTTGAGTTTAATTTTCTTAAGTCCTAATCCACACCTGTTGAGAATTTCTTTTTCCACAGTGCTTGGTGTTTTAGTTTGACTAGAAGATGATAAACAGAAGAATGTTGCTGTCCAACCACTTTGCTTTTTGTTGTCAAGTCTCCTTCCAGTGTTCCTGCCACTATTTCTGCTGGAAGTTCTGAACCCAGGGAAGAGAGCAGTATTTATTGCTTGACTACTGGATATACTATTGTTCTAAAAAAGATAATTGTATTGTTTAAACAGAAATTGTTTTCATATTTCATCAACAGTGAAAACTAGGTTAGCATGAAAAAGCTATTTTATGAAAGTTAATATATGTCAATAAATAATGAATTAATATATTAAACTAGTGAAAATCTAAATTTATAAAATTCTTTAACAAAGGAACATTTTTTTTTCCAAATAACTACCACTGAGTGTATGCCAACTGTTTTTGAGAAGATTATTAAACTTCACCATAATTATGTGTCCCCTTACACTTGTATTGATGCTTAGTATTTTTATTTTCATTACTTCATGTACATATATAATCAACAGGCTATTTTCATTACTTCATGTACATATATAATCAACAGGCTATTGATGTGATATTTGCAGATTTTCTTATTTTCCTCTTTACTAATATTATATAATGTTGATAATGATAAGATTATTTCCATTTTCATACTTTAGTTCTATAAAGTTAAAAAAATAATTTTTCTTCTGTTATTTTCATAATTTAAATCAAAGACAATTGATGTGCTTTTATGTTTGTCTTTCTTAGCAGTTTGTATTAAACATGCGTGACATCAACTGAAAAATAAAGGCTGTATGAGCAAAAATGTTTAAATTTGTATTTTACACTAAAGACCTTGACCTAAGGAGACCCCTTACTCCATAAAAATTAGAGAACCATTTAAGGTATCCACCTACTAAATATGAAAGATATCATTGAATAAATGAAGTAATTAGGAGAAATTTAAGATAAATCCAACTTGCTAGAATAGGTTAACCATACAATGCCCTATTTTCTAAGTGATAAAAATCTATATAACAGGGCAAAATAGATAGCACAGTTATACAACTTAGCAATATAATGTACTTTGTATTGATAAGTGTGGTTATTATGAAGCTATTAGTATAAATAGAACTTAATATATATCCAACTTGGTGTTAAAGACCTAGGTTAACCAATTATTCAAATAATTGGTAAAAATGGAATAAATAGTAATGTAACTTGCCGAGATCATGAACATTGTGTTGATAAGTAATTGCGTATGAAGCCATTGGTATAGGTAGTGCTTAAGAAAAATGCAACTTGCTGTTAAAGGTAAACCTAGCACTGACATATGCATGGACAAACTGTTCAATTACTCTATGATAGGGGGCATAACAATTAAATGGAGATAAGTCTGGGAAAACAGGAGCTTGTGTTTTATAACTCTTATCCATAAGACAAGAAGTAATAGTAAAATAACATTGTTACCATAAATTACAAGTTCAAGGGGGTATAACTCTGGGAATAGTCACGCAAGAGTTATGCACCTTGTCACGCAACATTTGTATGATAAGAAATATATATTAGAAGTTTGAAGTAGATACCTTTTTTAAGTAAAGAAGTTATAATATTTCTTAAAGGAAAATTTGTTATGAACCTTGTCACACAACATTTGTATAATGATAAGAAATATATATTAGAAGTTTTGAAGTAGGTACCTTAAATAGTTATAATATTTCTTAAAGAAAATTCTAAGTTCAAAGGGAGATAAATCTGAAAATATTGCTTCAAGAGTTATGAACCTTATCATGTAAGATGTGGTTTAAGATTAGGAATATGTATTTGAAGATTGAGATAGATACCTTTAAAACTCAAGAAGTTACAGTAAAAATAACATTTTTCATGACACTTTGACAAGTTCACATGCTGTTTACACATGTCATCACGATAATTCGACAAGTTAACATGTCGTTTGCACAAGTCATCATGATACTTTGACAAGTTTACATGTTGTTTGCACATGTTATCATTATACTTTGACAAGTTAACATGCTGTTTGCACAAGTCATCATGGTACTTTGACTAGTTAACAAATTGTTTGCACATGTCATCATGATAATTCGACAAGTTAACATGCTATTTGCACATGTCATCACGATACTTTGACAAGTTAGTATGCTGTTTGCACATGTTATCATGATAATTTGACATGTTAGCATGGTGTTTGCACAAGATATGATACTTCTATGACAAGTTAACATAATGTTTCGACATGTCAGCAAGAAATAAGATAACATGTCGTTTGCACAAGTCATCACGATTTTTTGACAAGTTAACATGTAGTCTACACATGTCATCACGATACTTTGACAAGTTATCATGCCGTTTGCACATGTCATCACGAAAAATCGACAAGTTAACATATTGTTTGCACAAGTCACCATGATACTTTGACAAGACGTGATGTAAATTGCACATGTTAACATGCTCAAACGACAAAATAATACCATCGTTTCACAAGATAGCAAAAATATTGATCACATAAGACAGTCACGGCGTTCCATAAATATGACTGGGTACCCATACATGCGTTAACATAAGGTTTTCCATTAGTAACGAAGAAGTATTTCTTAAATTATTATTGCACATAGCTGGTTGATTTTTAGAGAAGCGTTGATTGATTTTAGAACACTCAAACTATCTGCAAATATTGACGTTTTATCAAATTTTTTCCTTCTTATTTTTTCTATTGCTTGATTCTACATGTATAAATAGAAGCGTATTTGTTAGTTTTAATTTTAGTTTCTTGAACCATTACTTCATTTTTGACAAATTACATAATACCTGCACCTGCTAAACCAGCATCCGGGTCCTTATTTCCATCAATATAAATATGATAATGGCCCTTATTTTACTTTTTAATGTCATATCTTTGTGTTCTGTTTCATAGCACGGTTTGGCTACAATTAAATCATCAAAATTTCATATTCGTTAATCAGTTGTGATATACTTTGTGCATATGACATTTTACATTGTTTTTATTAGTCTGTTTTATATAAAATACGGAGTATTTCATTATTGATTGTCCCCTTGACTGATTGTGCGAGCCAAATATTATCTGCTCTGTCTTAAATTTTCGTTCCTTGCCTTTGAAATAGAAATACTAACATTTTCCAATCTGGCGCCTTCTTTATCAATATGAATTACAACGTATGAATATATATATATATATTGAACAGTAATAGTTTGCGGTGCTAGGGGGTGTGGTCGGTAATTTGCACTTTCCAGGACCATCAATGAACAGACTAAATCAAACCGAGCCTGCAAGATCTTCAATTTGTAGTATTGATCTTTCTTTAGGGATTCTGTTTCTCTCTATTTTAAGTGTTTTTAAAAATGAAATCGAAGAAGACGCTGTTATATCATACCCTATATCAAACACATGCTTAGTTATCACACTAAACAGGGAAGGGTCTATAATATAATATTATAATATCGCTAAGTACACTTTTGGGGAGAAAACATTTTTCTTGGCATACGTGTAATACCTTATTATAATCGAAAGGAAAGTGCTGTTGTGGCAATTTTCGAAGTAAGTTCTACAAGTGTCTTTCATATCTTACCTTAATAAATAGCAGAAATTCAACATAATAAAACGTTCCTTTACAAAATTTTACATTGATATTTTCCGTATGTTTAGTGATGAGTACAATCGGCTTCGACAATTTCCAGGAAGTTTACAAAAATTATTATTTCATTCCAGGTACTTTGGCGCAAAACAAACTATTGTTTTTCTTTTTTTGTTGTTGTTTTTTTTACCTTTTAAGGAACTACAAAACTTCGATGAAAATAGAAAAACATTTAACCATCTTTGTTTTAATAATAATTGAAACTATTTACAAGTCATATTAGACGAATATTTCTCGATATAGGGCGTTTAAAGACTAGTAATAATAAAGCTTTTCTTGTCATCATGACATGCAAATTGCATGGAAATAAAATTACAAATTATTTAATTTTACCCATGAAATATGGTGCTATATCAGTTAAATATATTTCATATTTTTTAAAAATAAATATGAAATATAAATATGAAAGTGGGAGGAGTCAAAACTCATATTTATTTTACGGGACTTCTATCGCCATTTTGTTTGAAAAATCTGAAAATTCAAAACAAATTTTTGTCGAATTTTGTTTTGAAAACTATCTAGAATGATAGAAAACGGTCTAACTAAGAAAATTAATCCGAACACCAATATCTTTAATTCAGTCATTAACGCTGTACAGACGTTTAAAGAGTTGTTTACGTGACGTCACAATGTAGCGTTAAATATCACGTGGAAAACAAGACAATAATTATAATTACTGCGCCCTGTACAATTGCAGTTGCGTAGCAAGCAAGGGGGTGCGTAACCATTTTTCTTTGATATTGAAATTAAATAAAAAGGTTATTTTTTCGTTTTTCGTGAAATATGGTATACATTTTCACGCAACATGATAAAATGCCACATATTTTCACTCGCCGTCCCGGCTCGTGAAAATATGTGGCATTTTATCATGTTTCGTGAAAATATATTCCATATTTAACTCAAACGAAAAAAAATCCTCTTAATATTTTGATTACAATGTCTCAAAGTATATTGTAAATTCGATTATAAAGGTCATATAGAATTTTCATGTCAAAAGTTTTATTGAACCTCTTCAAAAAATGCAGAGAATACATTTTCTGACATCTGGAATATATAACCGATGTTTAATTCCCACGCGACAAACACATTGTGGACACTTAAATTAATCCTTCTTAGCATCAACCTCGCCATGTCTTGCATAGGAATAACTCACAGTTCAGTTTTCTTTTATTACTTAATGCTTTTTAAAAGTCGCCAAGACATTTACAGTTTCAAACCTTGACCAAACAGAATATAAATATAGTACATGTACTGAGTTTGTTTGTTTGTTTGTTTGTTTGTTTGGGTTAACGGCAATATTAACATATAACTGGTGAAACGGCGCCAAACACTATAATACGTAGACCTAAAGCGAGTCGAAAGTATTTATCACAATACAATTACATGAATATTGCAGACTCGGTTTGATTTAGTTTGTACATTAGGGATTTAATTTTCATTTAGTGTTCAATCAGTGTTTTGAATGGAACTAAGGCAAACAGTTCTCATAGTGAATTGACACGATTAAATCTATCACGAACATATGCAATATCATAGCATTCAAGTAGGAAATGTTTAACAGTAAAATATTTATTGAAATGTTATACAAAAATTCTACATCTAAGAAGAACACTTGACGGCTAAGGAGAGATAGATATGGTGAATAATCAAGACGCGAGCAGCTGATAGCATGAACTTTTGTTTTAAATACAGCTTTGTCCAAATATGATATCTATCAGAAAAAATAAATTTATATTTTGAGGATTTTAAAATCACTATTTGGTTCAGAATTTAAGGTTATTTAACCACAGCAACACCCCAAAAACTTTTATCTTTTTTGGTAGTTATCTATAATAAACTAAATAAAACAAACCATCGAACTTTTGTGAAGAAGTCTTCGTCAACATTTCTAATTGTGAATAATTGAAATTAAATTGACTTAATCCAAGTAGTAATCTTAACAGATTAATGTTCGAAAATGAAAGTTTTATAAACGAAAATGAACGTTTTATAAAGTTAACCATAACGTATTTGTATGGCTGCATGTAGTGTTATCATTTTTGATGATGATTAGAATAGAACGAACATCAAGCAATATTTTTACCAAACAAACCTGCTTTTTAACCCCTGTATGATTTCTTTGCCCGATAAAACGATACACAATAGGAGATAAAAACGCAAGTGTCGCAGGATAGAAATTTATATAAAATGTACATTGCCTTATGTTTTGTTATACATTTCAAATAAAGTATATTAACTGTATCTTAATGTGTTATATATTATTTGACCACTGATCCTATACCGTTATATCTCTCTCTATATTTCTATTATTCTTCTCTGTCATTGTTACTAACCTGTCACCCGTAAACTTGATATGTTATGTTCGGGTATGTTTTGTGATGCTCCATTGCACTTCATATCTGACCATTACATGTTAAAGTTGTGAAATATATTTATATTGTGTTTATATATTGTTTAATAAATATCTTGGATATTTCAGGTAAGTAATCTCTGAAAGTTATTATTAGATTATTACAGAATGTCATTATTGGTTAATATATAGAGGTTTTTGATAGATAACAGAGAGATATATTCACAATACTTACCTAGAACATTTACAATACTTACCTGAAATTGTACATGTAGTTATTACATACCTGTATCACTCATTCAACTTTATCTTTTAATTGTTAATTGCACTTCATATCTGACCATACATGTTAAAGTTGTGTAATATATTTATATTGTGTTTATATATTGTTTAATAAATATCTTGGATATTTCAGATTTGCATTTGTTGTGTCTGTCTATTACCCCACCTGTAATATAAATAACTGCCGACTAGGCTACGTCGACAATGGCGCCCAACGTGTTTCAACTGTAACATCTACAAGAGATCAGTTGATAAGACTGGACCAACAGATGATTTATTATTGTGTTCCAAATGTTTGATGCATTTGATCTTACATACGTGAATAGTATTTTGTGTACTGGATTATCTAGTGTAAGATAAATTCATTTGTGCATAGAAGGATTTTGATTGGATTTTACTCGTGCGGCATTTACATATGACCT